TTATTTGTAATTATAATTATTTTTAATACTTTTCTGGTTCGATCTTAAAGAAATAAGCTTTTAGTTTTTATTAGCATAATATTTTTACTTTCGGATACTATTGTTTTGGTTACAGTGATCGAAAGTTTTTTTTTTGATTTTTTTTAAAAAAAACTATTTTTTTATTAATCATTAGGTGCTCTTCATTTCATAAATAAGCGGTATGAATTTTTTTAAGATCAGGTCACTGCGATATAATAATTTATTATTTTTCTTTCTCCATAATTTAATTGTTTTTATTTTTATTATTTCCGTTGGTTTTTTTTCTTTGATAATTCCACTATAATTTTCCTTAAATCCAATTATATTAAAAAAAAAATTTATTACGACTCAATCCTTCTATTTCCGCACTTATGCGCTACATTAAAATAGATTATAATATGATTTCTACCAAGACTAATCAAAAATTAAACCCAACTCGTAAAAACAAAATGAATTTTTAAATTGTATTTTAATATCGATGGTTTTTGTCATTCGTCGAAACTTTGCCTCCCGTCGAAACTTTACCACCCGTCGAAACTTTTGCCAACTATCGAAACTTTTGGCACCCGTCGAAACTTTCGCAATTTTGCCTTTAATAAAAAAATTTGGCAAAACGTTTTGATGGGTTACGATTTCGATGCCTGTTGAAACCTCCGGGTTTGCCCGGAAACCTTACTTTGTAATATTTAATTAAAGGACTAAAGATAAAAATATGAACTTTACATTAATATTAATTATAATTCTTTATTAAAAGAAATACTGAAATTTAACGTTAACTAATTAATTTCGAAATTTAACAATTTGATTTCATCAATTAATAATATTTTCCAACTTTATACTTTTGTATTTAAAATTTTGACTAAAGAATTTAATTTTATAATTAATGAAATAGAATCTTTATTAAACATTTATGATAAACTTTTTTTTTCATGATCTTTATGACAAATACCATCATTCGTCCTAATCCACCTATTATTTATCCAACTGACACTCCAGAATATATGCCATTATTTCGTTTTTTTTTTAATATTCGAACATTCTCCATTGCAGGCTCGAATTTTTGAATAACAACTTTCACAATCTAATTTAATTACAAAGAATTTATTTTCAATAAAATACTTTAAGAATTTCAAAAGAATTATATGTAATAATTATTCACGGGGAACTGAATATTGTTACGATTGAATGTAATTCCTCCATAATTCCGCATGAAAATCGCTTTCGATATTTACAGTTAGTCTTTTTGATGATAATTAGCCAGGATGTCAAGGTGTCAGTATGACAAAATGTTCAAGATGTCAGGCTGGCTTAATTATTTTTTTTTTTTAAATATATATACCAAGCTGAAAATCCTTAAACAGCTCAATATCCACGCTCGCCCTTAATATATTTCTTTGAATACATTTCCTTCGAATTCTTAACTTTTACACCTTCGCGATAATTTCGTTTTCGCCGTTTCAACTTTTTAATTTCGCATATGTAACACCGTTTATTATTTTATTTTAATTCCCGATTTTATTAGTATTTTATAATTAAATTTTTATGTAATTTTTCGTAATTTGCGTAATTTTAATTAATTAGAATTTAGTACTCGACATTTATAGAGTTTAAAATATTGATTAAGCGAGGCAACACTTATTAATTTGATAATATTAAATAAATAATCTGTCATTGTTACTTTACTTCATTTTTACTCAATAAAAACCTTCTGCTTACATTTAAATTGTTTATAAATACATAAACGAAAGAACTGAATACAACACTATCAAGAAATATACCTCATTTCGGTTTCACAATGATATTTATCAAGAAGCATACCGAAAATTGATACTTTTGCCAAATTGTCTAACCTTTAGCTAATCCGGTAAATAAATCCGATTTTTTCCGGGTAAGTCGATCTAATCATGTGATACACAGGAATTTTTTATGCAGTATTTTGACTTTCTGATTAGAGTTGGTAGGTGATGGCATAATAAAAATAAATAGGTATATACATTCTGGTTGCAGTTTGCTTATTATTAAATGCTGGATGTTATCCATGCTGACTTTATCTTTTATATGATTTTATTTATTTACTTTTTTCATTTCTTTCATTCGGTTTATTTAATCTTCTTCACACACACCAATTTATGTTGATTTATGTTTTTAATTACAAGATAATCAACCGCGAGTAAGGGTTGTTGTTATCATTTTTATGTCAAATTTTTTTTTTTTTTTTTTTTTATTTCTCGCGTTCGTTTTATTTAATCTCGTAGTTCCTTGATTACAAACCTCAGATCATTTTTATTTTAAAGTTTTTTAATTATAGAATGAACCAGTTGTGACGAATGTTGGGATTTTAGACTAGACTAGGATGGGCGTTACGACTCAGCATATCTCACAGTTATCACTATACGTAAGCATCATGAACACCGACAAGCATAATCAAGTGCCAACGAACAAGTGGGAATAGTATTTCAACAAAATTATTTCATTGTAATGATCGGGAATGTTTAAATCAACATTTTTTTTAAATCGCGGAATTTTTATTTCTGATAATAATAATAATTAATTGTGTTGAGTGACAAATTTTTAGAATTAAATAAATGAACATAGAAAATTATTATTTTTTATTCTTAAAATATTATTAAAATTATTAGTTAAAATAAAGCACTCAAAAGATAATTAGCCGAACGTTATCATGAAGTTTGCGCATAATTCTTCCTTGTTTTAAGACCTTATACTTATTTTTTTTAATGACTAAAGCTTCGTTCTAATGATTAATTAACATGAGCTTTGTATTATTTCTTAACTTACCGAATTGTATATAAAAATAATCAACGACAAGAATTGTAAAAAAATCCCCTGGCTGTTACGATCCGGCATGCGAGATATAAAAAAAAATTCTAGATAATGCAAAGTGTTTACAAAAACGGAAATATTAAAAATCAATAGATAGCTCAGATTCATAATTTTCAAAATGAAATGACTATAAAATTGATTTCATAATATCTACAATTGTTTCGTTTGCTATATTGCCAAATTGCCAATAGAAACACAAAATTTATTTACATATCAACTGTGATTACAAACTACACTGCACCAAATATATTTGATTTAGTTAGCTACCTTGATTACAAGATGGTTGTTTATAAAGATTTCTCACACGATATAGAAGATAATAAAGTTTGTTAGATAAACACTTGACATTTCGTACAATTTACCTGATGGGAAAGTTATACCAATTGATATTACATTAGATATGCAGGATTTTAACTTTTGCCTTTACCAACGGAATGGAGTTGAAGCACTATTCTTATCCCATAAAAGTAATTTTTTGTTAGTAACTTACGCTAAATGATCCTTACACTTATAATGAAAAGACAATGGTCATTGATTTAAATGGAACAATTGATGGATTAGAAAAATCAGATTTCTATTAAATAAATAAATCTACTTCAACATTGTTAATTCGCTTTTTCTTTTCATAAGAATATTATATTCAAATATACCTATGTTGATGTTGCACTAATCAATGGTTACCCGATCAAGCTGGAATTTTTGTAAATTTCAATTCATACAAGGGTTTCTCCGTGTAACATCAAAATAAATACTTCTGGCTTTGGCTTCTAGCGATACGAATCATATAAATATTTTAGTATTAGTTAAATTAATTATGAAAAATAATTACAATATTTTATTATTTGCTGAAGACGGAAATATCTTATTTCTTGTGCAAGATATCTTAAATTTTAAAGATTCTCTTAGCCTTATATTAACTGGCATTCCAATAGTGGATGGTAGATACGCAATTATCTACGCTAATTTCACGGATTTTGAAGTTACTTCAATTATAACTTAGGAAGGTTTCTATATATTAATATTAGAGTACGATCAAGAGACTGAACGAGAAACAGCTGTTCTTTATCAAACTACAATCTATGGATTAAAGTTTATTAACATTAATTGCAATGTTTATGTAGGAATTGGACAAGTTTGTATATAATAACAGGCGAATATACTGTAAATAGAAGCGGTTAAAGAATCCATTTATTAATTTTTCTTTCATGTGAAACAGCATATAATTTAAACCATTAAATATTCAAACGAATCCATTAATTGAGGATTATGCTATTCGTTTATTACCATATAAAGGTTATTTATTAAGTGGAATAGGAAGGATTGATGGTCAAATTGTAATAACTGGTTATATTTTTAATGATGATGAAGTTTATTCTTGAAAACTTCCAAAATTGTCAAATCAAACTTTAAAGCTGTTATTTAATAAGGATCAGGTACGTGACAACATTTAGAAAAATTCATTTATTGTAAAAATTGTAACTTTTAATTTAATTTTTATTTATAAATTAAAAATGCTAGATCATGGGTATAATAATTTCCATATCGCTTCCACGACTCCAAGTATTAATAATATGATTCCATCTTATTTGGAGTTTCTTAATATTAAAATTATAATAAAGTTGAATTATCAAACGGTAATATTACAATTTTTCAAGACGATTATAATATATGACAAACCACTTCGGAAATTAACGGCTTCTTTTCTTTATGAAGACGATTGCAAAGCTTTTCTTATGAAAACAAGAATTTGCTGATGCAATTCCTGTCAGTTCTAATCGCATAACTACCAATGAAGGATTTAAAATCGATACTTCAGTTTCTCAAAAACAAATCTTTTTATCCATTGACATTAAAAAAATGAAACTGAGCAAGGAAGATCAGTTAGTTTGGCATTAAGGATGTAGATAGTTTGATTAAGAATAAACCTTATCACTGTTATCGCCTCAGGTGAAACAATCAGTTATTAGATGAGGATTATGGATTTAAAACTCTCTGTAAGAATTCAATTTTTTAAAATATCATATAATAGTTTACATGTATGGAGATTCTTTCAATTAAAGCTAAATATATTTTATTTCTCGAAGTGTAAGATGAGATGTGTTATTATTCAAATGCAATTGAGAATACTGAGAATAGGGTTATGATACATCATTTGAACTATTCTTTCTGTCAATATTCACATATGATTCAGTCACTTCATCTGATGTATTGTTATCATCAATTATAACTGACGCAAAGGGATTGCGTCCAGTATTTCCAATAATTTTATTACTGAAATGATTTCCGTCTAAAGAAATGAAGAATCAAAAAAAAAATTAAGAATAAGAGAATATTTATAACTTTATCACCAATGGCTAGTTCTTGGATTTGCTCATTTTGCTTACATTGAGCAGCATCCTTCAGAGTTGTTGTAGCTTGCATTTAGCAGTGGCCATCAGAGCTGATAAAATTTGTTGATTGTTATCAAATTTTATCAACAGGTTCCTTTAATTTACATTTAATAACCTTTTGTCCTTTGGTAGTGATCTAAGATAAAATCAGATCATTGTCACCTTTTTCAATATTAGGTCTTTTTTTTTGATCATCTTTAGCAGAATGTTTTGTGTTTGAAACCATTTCAGATCTTGATTTTCTTTCAGAATTAAAGAAAAGTAAGCTACTAATTTTTCTTTGTAAAATCCAATAATTTTTATGGTAACTGCCATAGAATCTTAATTTTCATTTGATTTTGGGTAATTTTGTGAGGTATAATAACAAAAAATAAAAGACTTTAAGTATTATAGAAAGTATATGAGAATAATGTTTAAAAAATTAAATAGAACAAACTTTATTATTGTATCATTTTGAAGAATTCGTTTGAAGAAATGCATATCAGATCAAGAATAAAATAAAGTTTGGTGTTGTATAACCATACATTTAAATAAGAATACTAAGTCATTGTGATCACATAATTTATAATTGATGTGTAACCTAAAATCATTCTAATACCGAAAATATTAATCGCTTATTTCTTTTAGGGAAGGCCTTCGAGATACTTAAGATATTTTAGGTTGTTAGCTTGATTTGGTATAATTCCAGACCTAACACCATAAATAATGAAAATTTGGATAAATACTATATTAATTTCAGTTTAGTTTTTTTTTGTTATTAATTATTTTATGAATAAATCTTTTTAACTAAGTTATAAGTACCATAATAAAAAATAAAAATGAAAATTAGATTAAAGTCTATAAATGCTAAGACATTTTAAATCCTTCTTGGGATAAAGTACTTTTAGTTCACCGTTAATTTGAACTTGAACATTATGAGACTCATCAATAGTAATTAATCTTTTATTCAACACTTATAATATTAATTAAAACGTTATCAACTGGCCATCTTCTATTTCCTTGTATAATTAAATTTCTATTTGGATTATTTTCATCATAATTAAAGGTGATGATAATGCCTTATCTTTAATAAAGGCATAAATCGTTCATTTATCCAAACTTTGATAGATAATGAAGAGAAAAATGTTTCAGGTAATGCTTTACAGAATGCATTGATATTAGCGTTGAATTTGTATGAGGGAGACAATTATGAGTAAGAAGATGGTCAGAGCGCATGATTAAATAGATCACTTGCCATTGGAAGTTTCGTAAAATCATGCTCAGATTCTTGATATACTATACCTAAATAATTAAGTAGATTGTATTACGTAAAATTTCCTAATCTATGTTGACGTAAAAAAAATTGAGAAGTAGGTCAACGTATTACAAAATAAATTGTGTTATATAATTAAATTTCAATAATTAACAACTAAAATGAATAAAATAAATAAATAAATTGATTTTTTAAAGATGTTTACAAGTTAAAAAAAAATTACCGATTGATGATCATCAAAAAAATTCCTAGTACACTATTATCATTAAAAGATTTTCTATTATCTTTTATGGCATTTCTCATTCATACACATTAGCACCAGGAGTAATATATAAAGGTTGTAATTTGGAATAGGGGATACCTAAAGTACTATACATATAACCTTGATAAGATCCAACAAATCCTGCATTAGGATTCGCTACTTCACCGATTGTAAATACTCCACTACTTTGAATGAACCCACCCCAATGACTATGTCGAATGCTTTTTGCTGTATCTATATACTGTATATACCATCAAATTCGAATTTTTTGACCAACCAATTGGCTCATTTGTTAATTCATAGACCACGACAGATTTCTGTGTTAAGATCTATACAAAGAAAGATGAAAAGATTTTTTTTTTTAGCATTAGTCTTTTTTTAAAAAAGTATATATATATATATATATATATATATACCGGGCAATAGCAACTTACCACCTAGGCTAATCTCCAGGATTATTAATGTCACGATAAAAGTAATAATCTTCAATTTTATTAAATGGATTAT